AGTGAGGAGCACGAAGCACACGTGGAATTTAAGCTCTGTAAATCTCACTTAAAACAGGTTTGTTTTACTGGGCCTGTAAATTAAACAACTTCCCAGCTTCTGTAGGTGAACTGGGAAAAGCTCAAAATTTTAAGCCCGAGTTTTTGGAACTGATGTAAATTGGTCTAAGGGTATAGATCCAGGAGCAAGTTGTGGGGTAGGTAAAATGAGGTGCCTTCCAGTGCTGCTTGTGAGTCTGCTTTTGCCTTACTGTAAAAGTGATTTAAATTGTCATCATTCCCCTCAAAACAGAGGGGACTGGACTTCCCCTCAGGCCAGGGTATGCTCATTGCTGAGGATTGCCCTGGCCTTTTTGTCTGGGTGCTTGTTCCCATATGTCCAAGCGCTGATTTTCTCATGTGCTGTTTTTCCAGTTCCCTGAGCTGCTGTTTGAGGAAGAGACTGAGCAGTGTGCAGATCTGTGCCTGAGGCTCCTGAGACACTGTAGCAGCAGCATCAGCACGATAAGGTCGCATGCGAGTGCCTCACTTTACCTTCTGATGAGGCAAAACTTTGAGATTGGGAACGTGAGTATCCTGCTGCATGTCATTAGGTTATTACGTGTCAGCTGGCTAGGGACAGCTGGCTGGTGGGGTGGTGCGAGAGGCAGAAAAGGCCTTGACTCTGTGTCAGCACTGCTCAGCAGTAACAAAAACATCCATATATTATCAACACCGTTTCCAGTGCAAAGCCAAAACACAGCCCCATACAACTACTGTGAAGAAAATTAACTCTGTCCCAGCCAAAACGAGCACAGAGGGCTTCCCGTCGAAACAAGCATGGCGTGCAAAGGGAAAAGAGGCATGCAGCAGCGACACGACTTCGCCTGGCTCCTGATCTTGCAGTACTCGCACTGCTGGTCAGTGCGTAGCAGGAGTTCCAGTCTCCAGGATCAGTGTCCGAGCTCTCTGCCCAGAATCGCTTTACAGGAAAGCTGCCACTCGTGTCAGTTTATAGAGAGATGCAGAGCTTTGCCTGGAACATCCACTGCAAGAGCTTCCAGACCTGCCAGTTTGGAAGGTTTGCATACTCTTAGATTGGACAGTTGGAGCTATCAGAGGAACACCCCTCTGCTTTGCTTTTGCACACCTCTGGGTGAGAGCAGGAGCAGCCACACAGCCCTTTCTGTGGCACAGCTACTGTGTATGTCCTTTCTGAAAGGGCTCTGTAAGTGTAGGTGAGTTAGCAATGCTGGGATTTTGTTTTCATTCAACTCTTACCTCTAATTACGTCTTAGCTTGATTCACCCAAGTGCACTTTAAGTTATCAAGAAAATCCGCAGCCTTAGCTCTTCCGGTTGGTGTTTGCAGGCATACCTGTAGCTGTGTGTCACAGGGTGCTCCTCCAGGCATCTTTGTTTGCACTGCTTTGGTTACCGTCCCCCGTGGGGGGTACAGAAACTGGAGGGACCCGCTGGTTCTGGGCCCAGGGGCTGTTAGTGGATTGGTAGCAGCAGGTTAACAGCGACCCCGCTGTTAGGCTAGACCAGGCCAAAAGCAGGTGTGTAGAATGAAGGCTGTATTCACGAGAGGGGGTTGGGCACCATCCTGGTCAGGGTGCTTGGGAGGAGAGCAGGGAGAAGGAGAGAAAACTAGAACGCTTGCAGGATGACCTTCAGCTGGAACTGAATAATGCTGTTGTCAGATTGTGAAGTCAGCAGCACCAGAGGTTTATTGTAACCACTGCTCTGTGACCATCCTTTACCCAAAACTTGTGTTTTCCCCTTTGGTATCAGGTGTCTCTTGGGAGGAGGGTGCAGTGATGGGCGCTGCTCTTGCAGCAGGCTTGCAGTCTCTCCGGGCTGGGGGAACTCGGTAACCATTTCTCTGTTGCAGAACTTTGCCAGAGTGAAAATGCAGGTGACCATGTCTCTCTCATCCCTGGTGGGGACATCCCAGAACTTCAATGAGGAATTTTTGCGACGTTCCCTGAAGACTATTTTGACATATGCTGAAGAAGATCTGGAACTTAGGGAGACAACATTTCCCGATCAGGTGAAAGAAATACCACAAGAGGAGTGATGTGTAGTTTGTTATAAGGCTGTGCTTAAACCTCCACCTGAAGCTGGAATTTGCATGCATTCCCTGAAGGAGGTATATGTATGTATTTACCACCTAAATCCATAAAAATCAGGTCCTTGATGAATTTTGAAGACACAAAGGTGCCAACACACAGAGGTTCCTCAGAGCAGCTGTGGTTCTACCACAGCAGCATGTAGTCGATTCCCACTGCCCCCTCATTACAGCAGCGTATTTTTTTACAGGTCCAGGATCTAGTGTTCAACCTGCACATGATCCTCTCTGACACAGTTAAAATGAAGGAGCACCAGGAAGATCCAGAAATGCTGATTGACCTGATGTACAGGTAGAGTTCGTGGCCATTGCGCTGCGGGGACAGTAGGTGTCAGCCCTCACACCGGGCTTGAACAAAGCCAAGTTCTGCCTTTCCTGTATTTAGAGCACGAGGCATTGTGTTGCTGTGAACATTGATTACTTGCTTTTTATTAGCAATTATTTTACTTAGAACTTACTCTCATTTTAAACTGCTTCCCACCATTCACATTTCACCCAATAACAACGCAGCTACTCGCTGTTTAGTTTTGGACTCGGATGTTGCACATTTGAGCCCTTACTGAGCTCAGTCTTGCAGCAGTTCTGGGTCTCAGTGCTCATGGAGCAACATTCGCGTGTATCTGGTGTTTGAATATGCTATTGATAGGTTTTGGTTGTTATTTATGTAGCTTATCTTGGGTAAAAGCAGTTTCCGTTCCCCAGCAGTCTCTGACAATCTCATCCTCCACCTGAGTGAAGGCGACTCTCCCAGCTTGCGTCAGGGAAGACTTAAGGATCTTCCAGGATGGGCTTGTACAAAAGGCTTTTTGGTGGTGGTACATATGATGGTCTCCTTTTGCGAAACATATTCCAGAGCTATGTTAAGATCCCAACTACCAGATTTGGTGGTGTTGTCTGCACAAATGCTCCTAAGGGCTCCTTGGAAGGCAGCAGAGATTTTGTCATAAGCAACCAGGCAGGTCTGCTCTGACTGTCCCACACCTTCGGCTTACTACCAGCCTCCAGGTGAAATTCGAGCTTTGGTCAAGAGCTTCGGCAGCCCCCATAAAAGCATTCTGCCATCGGGGGCAGCTGCAGTTGCTTGCCCACCACTAACTGGGTCAGGAATCTATCATTTGGGGTAACTTTCCATCTATATAGCTTCTTGTGTATTTCTAGATAGCCTCGAGCTGAGGCTGATAAAGAAATTCTAATCACAGAGGTTTTCTTTTCAATTAGGATCGCAAAGGGCTATCAGAATTCCCCTGACCTGCGCCTGACCTGGCTGCAGAACATGGCTGGGAAGCACTCCGAGAGGAGCAATCATGCTGAATCAGCCCAGTGCCTGGTCCACTCCGCGGCCTTGGTGGCTGAATATCTGAGCATGCTGGAAGACCGAAAATACCTCCCTGTAGGGTGTGTTACATTTCAGGTAGGAATTATCCTCCAAAATGTACTTTTGGGTTTTGTCATCTGCTGCCGAGGTACTGAGCATTTCCACGTGCCGGGTATTACTGTGCCTGTGTACTCCCACTGCTCTTACTCGGTTTGTTCTGGGGAGAATGCATTGCAGCAACTTCTGAGAATCTTTATTATGCTTGAAGACTGCCTTGGTTCCCCTAAGTGTTTACATCCGTAGTACCGAATCCCGTTCTTCTCACTTCTCCAGTCCAGTTGTGGGGTTTTACCCTCTGTGATCCCACCACTCTGTAGTGGGTGCAGTTGATGAAAGTGGTTCCTGGGGCTCGTAATGCTAAGCAGGACAACACTGAGTAGAGCAAACAAGCACATACTTAGCTTTGAATGTGCAGGTTGTCCAGCCGTTAGTTTAAGCACGTGCTGAAGTACCGTGCTGGTTCAGAACGACATGAAAATGCACGTGAAAGCTGCCTCTTTAAGAACTCTGGGATTCGATGGAAGATCAGCTGGCTTTCAAAGTTTTGAGAGTTTTTCATGTTGTTTAAATTGGGTAAAAATATTTTATCTGCATCATATCTCCTTAGAACATATCTTCTAATGTTTTGGAAGAGTCAGCAGTTTCTGACGATGTTGTGTCACCGGATGAAGAAGGCATCTGCTCTGGAAAGTATTTTACCGAAGCTGGGCTGGTGGGATTGCTGGAACAGGCCGCAGCATCTTTCTCCATGGTAGATGACTTTAATTTCTTCACCTGTCTTCTTCAGCAGTCTTATACTGCTGGGCGATATGCAGGAAAATGTTTAGTCTGTGTGTAACTACTGTGACCACGTGTGTGGAGCATCGGGAGTTTCAGGTGTTCAGGACAGCTCGGTTTGCCCTCTGGAGTAAACTGTGCAAAGAACAGGATCTGGGACCAAGAGGTCTTTGTGTGCTTCCAGTGTCTTTCACTTCAGCTGCACATCTGGGAGTTCACAACAGTAAAGAAAGGCCGTAATGTTTCTCCTCCTCTTCAGAAGGAGCGGGCTGCGAGCTTTATGTGAGCAGTGTTAATGAGCTGGTGGTAGTGTATCCATCAGAAACCAAGGAAAGCAAGTGAATTAGGATCCTGTTTAGCTTCTTGTGCTCTTGTGCATATATCCCTCCAAAATATCCCAGTTTTGATTCTGTTAATAATCTCATTATTTAGTAGCAGTGTGTAATGCAGTAGGCTCTTGATTCCAGAGCTGACTGGGGATTTTATTCCATTCACATGTGGGTGTGTTTTAAGAAAAGATGCTGATTACATCACACCTTTTCGCTTGTAGCTGTCTAATTTAAATGCTGGTAGTCTGTCTCATTCTTGCTGTTGAATTGATGGAGCAATCTGATGGACCTTATTTTTGTAGGCTGGCATGTATGAAGCAGTTAATGAGGTTTACAAAGTCCTTATTCCTATTCACGAAGCTAATAGAGATGCCAAGAAGCTATCTACTATTCATGGTAAACTCCAAGAAGCATTCAGCAAGATTGTTCACCAGGTAATGACTTGAATTTTCAGCTGCCATGTGAATTCTGAAGAAACTTCAAGTGCTCAGTGCAACTAAAAACTACCTGTTAAGGAAAAACATTTAAATCAGATTACATGGGAATTGTCAAATGGTGATCCGCAGTAAATGCAAGGACATTTAATTTGAAAAACATGAGAGAGAGCAAATAATCAAGTTTCATTGTAACTTGAGAAATACCCAGGAGTTAAAAATTCCGATCATCTGCCAGTTTATCCTTTGAGATGTTATTTTAACCTGCGTTTTGCATGCTGTATTTCTGGGAAAAACACTGTAGCTTCTCTTTAACGTGGCAGGAAACGTTCAGAAACATTGGGGGTTTATTTGTCTGTTCATGTGGTGGATAAATAATTGAAGGAACGTTTCTACACGTAAAGGGTGCAAAACCCGGCAGCTTAGGTGCTGAGCGTTTGATGAGAGACATGAGAAATTACCAACCCTCACAGAGCTCAGCCAACCTCAGCTGCCAGGAGACGAGAGCACGTGGCGACTCTCAGGAGGCACATTACCTTCCAGGAGAGGCCCGCTGGGTGCGTGCCGTTCTGTCAGGGCAGGCCAGCACTCGGCAGAGCCTCCTGCAGCACGCACCAGCGCTGCTCGGCGCCCCCCACCCCAACCAGCGCTCTGGTCGCGGGGTGCCGGATGCATCCTTTGTCTGTTGGTGTCGTTACCCTTGTGCTGCCATCAGCTGCCCAGCAGATGGTGATTCGGGCCTCCATTTCCTAGGATCCAGCTGGGAGTCTGGTGGTTTCCTCCGTATTCTGGCGTTGCCAGATTCCCAAGGTTAAGTGTACAGATCGCGGGCGATCGTTGAGTGTCCTAGGCCAGGGAAGGCCACTTTGGATGCATGATGACTTGTAATCCTTGAAACCATTTCAGGTTTATGATACCTTACATTGATGGTCATGTTTTGGCCTTTGAAACTCTTCTTTTTTGGTTTCTGTGACATGCGCTTTTTACTTTTTTATTACACAGAGTACTGGCTGGGAGGTAGGTAACTCCGTTTTAGTTAGTAAAGAACACTAATAGATTTTTCAGATGACTCACGCCAACGCTTGCCCACATGTGCTAGTTGTGGGTATTTCTGTTGCTGTCTGCTGTTAAAACAATCCATTAACCAAAGAAATACCAGTAAACCGATTGTGGTTGTAGTAGGAAACTCTTCATAAGAAGCTGTAGGTAGTGCATGGATGCTGATGTGTTCCACTAATGAGGTTCTTCGGTGAATGAGCCACTGTATCATCACTAGTTTGTTTTTATAATTTGTTTATATTTCTTTTCATCAGCATTGACACGGAATATCATCCCTTCATACCATATTTTCACCCCACCCACAGGGGTCGATTTAAGCAATAATGCTCAGAGGTACCGACAGACAAACCTGGTTTACTGCACGTGCAGTCTGTAGCACAGGGAATAGGCTGCTCCGCTGCCCGTTGAAGAGCAACTGGTTGATCTGGCAGTAAAATAGCTCAGTTGTGGTAACCGGGGTCAGTTTTGCTGCTTTCATTTTTGTAGAGGCTGCCTGCTCACATTTCTACAACATACACCGTCAGAACCACACAGTTGGGGTAAAAACGGGCAGAGCAGTCGGCTTCGTCCGCGGTCGCGCACAGCGCGGCGACCTCAATAGCTGGGGCCCTGGTCCAGTCGACACAGTGGGTACGTGAGCATCGAGAAGTCTCAGAGGGCATTTTAAATGCTTTGCGAATGGGATGTTATGTTATTTGTGTAGTCTTCAGCTGCCCAGTTAGGCTCTGCTTTTCCGTGAATGAGGCGACTCAGTACGGGCCATCTCACTCCATGTTTCCAGTACAGGAGAGCATTTAAGCCCACACTTCCCCAGCTGGGGCCAAGAACAAAGTCCTTTTTGTATTGTGTGACCCAAATGATTGGGTCTGGTGATGTCTGAATGTCAGTTTTAACGCCAGCCTAGCAAGAAGCTAAATTCAGTAGCTTAAAAGTGACCCCGACGCTATGGGGCTGGCCCCGTGGATCGTTTGCTTGTTCCCATGAGGAATCCCAGCAGATGAGGCAGCACGGCAGTCCGGAGTACGTGTAGGGGTGCCAGGGAGCTGTGTTCAGTAGCCAGCAAACGTGAAGGCCTGTGAGCATCTATTTTGATTAGTCTGCCCCTAAATCGACCCCTGAAGAAAATCCTGCCATTGGTTATGAATCTAACATCACTCAGTCATGTGTTACTGCATGGTAAAAGACACCCATGGTTTCTGTTCTCGTCTGTCACCGTGCTCCTTCATTGCCACACTTCTTCTGATCTTTGTGCTTTGTAGCTTTCGGATTTGTTGCATGTTTTGCCCTTTTTCCTTGTTTTAAATACTTTAATTGATGCTCACCCTTTTTTATTTTAAAGTTTATTTGCTGCCAATTTGCTGCTTGTTTGTTTTTTGGAATTTCCCTAATTAAATACTTTCTGTTTTCTCCTCTATCGCCCTGGTCGCTGACCCTCCTCCCCACTCTTACTATTGTCTGTTGTGGTAAGTTCCTACTTGTGGAAATTTCCCCCCCCCCTTCTCTTTCTT